GCAGCTTTCACATGATGTACAAAAGCATGTTCAACACGTTGATAATCTAACGCTGTAAGTAAATTATTAATTTTTCACGCATTGGTTAATCTAAAAATAAGAAAAGAGTGATAAATCTGTTTTGTACAATCTTGATTCAGGTAAAAAAACTCAGTTCATAATTCATTTTCTGTGATTCCTTAAGATATTGAGATTACTATTCTTATCTCCAAAGTAAATCAATGTACTTGAAAATGACGCAGAACAATTAAAATGTCAAGGTAGATAAAATTTTTACTAACACACTGGTTTAACTCTTTGTATTTTCTTTTATAAAATCCTACAAGTCCTGATATGCTGTATCAGAAAATATTTGATAATAAAGTAGCTTAACCCTTCATATTTTCTTTTATGAAATATACTGTATCTGAATAAATTTTCTTGAGCAGAAGAAAAGCAAATTTGAAGGTGGCCAAAATTTTCATTAAAAAACACAAAGGTCTAACGATTTCTCTGTTTACATTTTTAATTAAAAAAAAAGATTTTTGGAAGGCCTTAAGATATCTACTATTATTTAAAGATTGCCATTTTGAGAAATATAAGGCCCCTTAACACATGTTTAAAATGAGATAATACAATTTTTGATACACGATTATACTAGTCTTCTGCTCTGGAAATAAAGACAATTTTGAACGTGGTCAAAAGTTTCACCAAAATTTATAAAAATACTTAATTTAAGCTTGCTTAACTCTTGGATTTCTAAGTTAGAGATGGAGTTTGTGACATTTCATGACCAACTTAATCTTTCTGGCACTTAAAGACTCAATTTTCTCAGCATTAGTAATCTCCTATATATGTAGCATACAAAATCAAACAGTTATTTAAGTTTAAAATTATCTTTCTATTTTTTGAGTCATCTGAGATTTACTGTGGAAAATACTATCTTTTTAAACATACAATATTTCCAAATTGATTATCATTTTCAAACATTCATCACAAGATAGAAGAAAAGACTAATAGACAGACATTTTTCTTTCCTATAGTCAATTGTGCTGATGATGAAGTTTTATTAGTTTTTTTAAATAGCAAAAAAAAAAAAGGTTTACATCCCATAAAATGTACTAATTAGCTACATGCTTCCCGAAGTCTCCCTCCTTTAAATTAAAAAACAAAATATCTTTAAGAAAGTTCTGTCATATAAGCATTTTCCTTAATCTTCAGACCCCTCACTGAAAATCACAATGTTCTTATCTCTCTTCACAACTAAAACAATTTACTCATTTCTTTAATTCTAGCACAAAAATGTATAATGAGCTATCTCCACTGTATCTTAAGCTCATTGCTGAACCACTTTAGATACCGTACTGCCAACAACAAAATGGTGATTCTTTATTATATCATCCTGTGTTGTAAATATTAACAAAGAATCTATGAACAACCAACCAAGTTTATTTTTATAGGAACATGATTTTAGTGTCATAACCTAACCTAAGCAGAAATCAAAACATTAGCTTTAAAAATGCTTTTAAGATAAATATTCTGCTGATTTAATCGCATAAAACAGACTAATCACAGACTCAAAACTGCTAAAAAAAAATTGCCGTTAATGGAAAACACATGTACATATAATGGTAGTGGACTTTTTTTTTTGTAATGAGTTTTATATAAATTTTCACATGACATAAACTTACATAAAATTTTTAAATATGAAAAAATCAGGATTATAAACATCTTTCCAGTTAACATGTAACAAATTACTACTTGTGGAGTCTGTTATTGTTCAATTAGTATTGAAAAAAAAATAGTACAAGATTTTACACTAACTTTTTTTTCAAAATCAGTTTGTTTGTTTGTAATTAAGCACAAAGCTACACAATGGGCTATCTGTGCTCTGCCCACCACGGGTATCGAAACCCAGATTCTAGCATCGTAAGTCCGCAAGTATACCGCTGTGCCATTGGGGGGGGGGGGGGCTTTCAAAATCAGGTGAAATAGCAAATAACAAATGGTGAAGGTATGACACATTATATGAGCCACAAGAAGAGATGTTTTGGTTTTTACAGCAGTGCACACACACACTAACTATATATTAAGTAACAAGTATGGGAGTGGAAGTAGATGATCAACTTTTGTAGTAAGAAGTTGTGATCTACAAGAAAGTTTTGAAAAAATACTCAATATTTATAGGGGGTTCGGTGTCAATTTACAACTTTAATAACTTTGGTGTTTCTAAGCGTAAACTAAAAACCCAGCAAATCAGTTGAATCCCCAAATTTGAATAGTGAGTTTCTTGTGCCTTATACTTTTAATATTCTGAAGCTAATGTGTCCCAATTTTAAAATAAATCAGGTAATTTTGCATAAATATAAATCTAACTGTTATCAAACCATCCAAAAGTATTCTGCATTAAAAAAATTGAGTGCTGTTGCTATTTTAATACTGTGAAATAAGCTGACTAGAAAGTTTCATAGTGCCTATCTCTACAACAATCCACTGGCCTGTAATCAATACAATATAGGTATTCTAAAATACAAAGGAATACTTAAAACTTGGTATTTTTGCGTACCAATTTTAATAACTACTTTTTTCGTCATATACTGTTGATGCCTTTTGGTGGTATATAATCATAATGGTTCATTAAAATTTGTATGTATACATATACAGAATATGAATGAAAGTATTATATTCATATATGAAATCAAACAATTTGTTTGTAGGCTTTTTTTGTCCATTCTTTTAAAGATATATTTAGTGTCAATAAATTACAACTAACTAAAAAAATATATATATCTCTAAATGGCATGTTTTAAATTACTTTTATTACGAAGTGCGAATAGTACAATATTCTGTGATTTTTTCAATAGTGTATTGTTTTCTTTATGGAAACAACCATAGAATGTAAAATAGATAACAACTTTACCATTCTATGCTCTAAAACAATTTTCCTATTTAATTTAATTTTTTAATTGGCAAATTAATGAAAGATTATGACCTAATATTTCCCCCTCTTGTTTTAGCTCTGGTATTTCATAACCAGAGGGATTCCATCAAATCCCCAGCTTCAAGTCATAGAAGTGTTAACAACATGTCTAGTGCACATTAAAATGTGGAGCAAAGACTAGATCTCAAAATGAACTAGCATTTTGTTTTTAAATAAAAACAATATCTAAATTTTGAGCAAAACATAATGATAAAAGTACAATATCATTGAAAACAATAATAGTAGTACGAACACATTAAATGGTAAAGAAACCACTTATTGGTGTGGTTGCTTCAAAAATACACTTCCATATGATATTACAAAGAAAGTAGTTAATCATTTTAGGGATTGTTGCCAAATTTTACAGTAAAATGCTCTAAACATCAGAGATAAATGTTGCTAATGGAACTCCTATCATTAGAAACATTCCACTAACTACTGATGCACACCCCTGTGTAGAAGCAGCATACTGGTGTTCTACAATGCTTGTATAAATACAGGATTTAGAATGTAAGCTTGGCATATTTGCAGTATCAAGATCAGCCAAAGCTATGTAACATAATGCATTAACTCTTTCATTGTCATTGGTACAAATATTGGACACATCATTTGTTTTGGACTTGAAAAACTGTGATATAAACCACATTTGAGATTTCAATTTTGTGCCATCAAGAAGAAATGGCATTTCTCTTCATAATTCCCAAAGTTGAACAGTATCAAGTTACAGATAAGTAACACAATATTAAAATTACTTTTTTGCTTTTTATTGTGTATCTAACATAAACCTGGCATAAAATGTGGAAGTGAAAGAGTTAACCCATTCATTAGTTACCAATGTCCCATTTTTGAAAACAAAAAAAAATCTCCTCTTATGTATTATGATTAACTGATTTTAATTATTTCATTTCATGGACTAATTTTATTTCAAATATTGATATTTTCGTTTTAATAAACTTTTTTTTGTAAATAAGTCAGCTGTTTTGTTATGCAGCTTTTTGAATTTTAGCAAAATGTGAAGATCCTTGTAAGTTGATATTTTGTCATTGAAATATGATATTTAAATACACTCCTCTACGATATGTATAGAATGTTTATAATATATACTGTATTATACAGAAAAAAAACTGTTTACAAGATAAATGAGACAACAGAAGCTAAATATAAAATATACTTCTGGTATTTTGTGTGTGTGTGTGTATAAATCTGTCTGTTACTTCATACTGTGACCTGGATATAAACTGTTTACAAGATAAATGTGACAACAGAAGCTACATGTAAACTATACTTCTGGTATTTTGTGTGTGCATATAAATCTGTGTTACTTCATACTGTGACCTGGATATAAACTGTTTTCAAGATAAACAAGACAACAGAAGCTAACTATAAACTATACTTCTGGTATTTTGTGTGTGCGTATAAATCTGACTCTTAATTCATACTGTGACCTGGATATAAACTGTTTACAAGATAAATGAGACAACAGAAGCTAACTATAAACTATACTTCTGGTATTTTGTGTGTGCGTATAAATCTGACTGTTACTTCATACTGTGACCTGGATATAAACTGTTTACAAGATAAATGAGACAACAGAAGCTAACTATAAACTATACTTCTGGTATTTTGTATGTGCATATAAATCTGTCTATTACTTCATACTGTGACCTGTATATAATCTGTTTACAAGATAAATGAGGCAACAGAAGCTAACTATAAACTATACTTCTGGTATTTTGTATGTGCATATAAATCTGTCTATTACTTCATACTGTGACCTGTATATAATCTGTTTACAAGATAAATGAGGCAACAGAAGCTAACTATAAACTATACTTCTGGTATTTTGTGTGTGCGTATAAATCTGTCTGTTACTTCATACTGTGACCTGGATATAAACTGTTTACAAGATAAATGAGGCAACAGAAGCTAAATATAAACTATACTTCTGGTATTTTGTGTGTGCGTATAAATCTGACTCTTACTTCATACTGTGACCTGTTTCTGAGACACATAAAATATAACAAGCACAACAGATCCATGGTTTGTATGTTTTCTTAAGCTTTAATGTTTGGATTTCCTTGCATTCAATGTTGGAAAGACTCCACTCTCATACTTCATACATTACTTTCAGGTGCAAGCCAGACATTTATCCCAACTTTTCGATCTACACAGTAATCATCATCTCATAAAGATTGTTCAGGTACTTATTACACTCTGGTCAACTTGTGTTAGTAGCCAAGATGAAATGTTAATAGATAAAATTTAATTACTATTTTAACAACACTCACGTGGTGACATTATTACCAGTTACTAAACAGCTGTAGATCTTTTGTGTTCACGAGTTTTTAATGTTGTTTTTGCAAATATGTTTCTACTTCTAATTATAATAAACTAACCCAATAACATAGATGGAAAATACTGGAAATAGGCTAAATGACTTTTTTTAAGCTATCAGTGTGTAAGTACAAGTGTTGCTCGCAAAACAGAAATTTCATGTAGGAGTTAATATAGTGTCTAATAACAAAACTAGGTAATTTTGAATGCTTTCTAATGATATAAGAAATGACTAGCTAAACAGATAAAATTTGTGCTCTCTCAAAACAAAATATTGAGTTATTTTTATCAAATCTAATTCAGTCATTTTTTTCTACCTGATGGTATGGTTTTTCATTGTATAATAGCTTCAACCTCCTTCGCTCATATTTTTTGATGTAATCTGATAAAACGATGGATAAATTATACATCAGAGAAGAAAAAAGGAAGACATGTTATGTCATGAAATATTACATAAACAAATGAGAAATATATAAATACATACAATATCTGGGGTCATATTAAGGGTCATCAGTCACTAGCAACTAAAAACTGCACTTGAATAGCCACGCAGACAACCAGCATTAAATGAACATGATGCAAAGTATATGCATTTTATGAAAGAATTAGTGAATTTTACAATACTTGCAGCATGAATAAGCCAACAAGTGTTAATTGCCATCAAAATATGTGAAAATATAGGTTAGCAAAATGAAACCAAAATCCAACCTTTCGTGGTGCTACTTACCCGATTAATATTTATAGTGATTAATAGTTTTTTAATAGATGTTATGAAATCTTCAAGACTAACACTATCATTTCTCACACATCAGACAGAGAAAAGAAAATAGGTAAACAATGAACATGACAAAAGTTGTGTAAAAGCTATCGAAGAATAATATTTAGTCAACATATCTAAAATAGTTTCTTATAACCAGGTCCAGAATCATTTAAGATATAATGCTCTTATACAAATTAAAATTACAATTTCCAAATACAATAATATCAGACCAACAGTCTTTTCTTAACAAGGACGAAACTTGTGAGTTTTAGAAAGTTTGTTTTAATGTTACACTTTTATTGCAAAGTTGGCCATAATGTTTCACATGAGAAATGATCTAAAAAAATAAGCAAAGAAAGAGAGTCCCTTACAGCAGCAAATGTTTACTCCAGTTAAATGTTAAATTAAAGCATTTTTATTTGGCTTGTAATTTTTTTATGCATGTTACTTAATAAAAAATTTACTTGACTAAACAAAATTATAAAATTGCTGTTTTTCCTTGTAATTAACATAAAAATTATCAATAGTCTTTTCATACATTTCAGATCAAAATTAATTTTTCTACATAAATTTAATAATTTCATAAAATATACTGATTGCTTCTTATCTTTTCTAACATTAAATTACAGAAAACGTGTGTGTGACAAGACTTACCCCGAGAACCATTGCACAGGTTTAACAACTGTGCTTTTTATATTTTAAAACTAGTATGATGAATAATAAATTAAGCAGTGTTTAAAATGTAAAACTAGTAAAAAACATGCTAAAACTAAGTTAACCTTGATTAACAACTAAGTTAATAATTTTTGTTGGTTTCTGGAAATGTATTTTGTTATTGTTATAGAGCCTGAGCATGACTGTATTTTCAAGTGTTCATCTAAATGTTGCCATGTATAGTAATCACCCCTATAAAGAGAATAGGCACATGATGAGTCATGTCCGTAGTTGAAATGTAACCTTTCCAAGCTCAGACTCCCGACATTTATGATTTCACATAACATGTCTGTTCTAAAGTCATTAGCACTTTCGCTGTTAATGTTCCTTAGATTTTACAGCATTTTATTGTTCTATGAACAACATTTATATTGCACACAGAGGCCTAACAAAAATAACTGTCTAATCTCTCAGTTCCTCCAACCCTATTTAGATGCCCCTTAGGTGAAAAAAGTTTATTACTGTAAAAATATGTACTGTTCATGTGAATGATGCTCATTAACCTTCAACGAGTGCAGCACATGATAGTTATCATGCCAGTGTTTTTATTATTAATCTATATTGTTGGAATATTAAAAGGCCTATAATTTTGATATTATCACACATAAAAATGTATGTTTGCAGAAACTTATCAGCATTCTAAAAGATGTGTAGATAATGAATAATGAATGTTGAATGGGCTTCCATAAATTCCAGACGAGTAGTCATAATGGCCTAGTTGGAAAGTGAGCTAATGTAACACCTACGTGAAAAAAAACTTCCTAGTATTTAGTTTTTAATTTTATAAGCAGGTTTTTAGATATTAGTTTTATATCATAAATTGACCTTTAATTCTCAGCATTTCTCAATCCATTATGCATTATCCTATGGTTCAAAAAAGAACAGAAGTTCTGAAAGCAAAAACATTTGCCACCTTTATCGATGTATTTCAATGTATTATATGTAAATAACTAACAACCCACTTAAATCCTTGCAAGTTTTTCTGGCTAACAGCCAGATTGATTACCACAAAGCAAAGAAGTTCATTATTTCATCTGAAATATTGAACAGATATTGTTTTGTAAATCTATACAGCTACAGGTAAAAAAATCAATATTGATGAGAATGTTGTAAATTACACATTTTTGGATTAAAATCATATTTACAATGTAGCTTCAAATTATTAAAACTTTACTTGCTGGTTTACTCTTGCACATCAAATAAGTACACATTTTTAAGTGTCTGAATATTTATTGTTTGAGAAATAGGGAAGTTCCTATCTATGGGTCTCTTCTTTGACATTAATTTAGTCTAGGCCCAAAATATGTTAATTTTTGTCAGTTTTATAGTAAAAAAATTCTGGTTAATTAAAGTTAATAATTAATTATATGACTGGTGTCTTTAATTAAAAATTACAATCTAAGAATTAATCACTGCGACTTCTTTGGTTGATTAACTTGTGTGTTCTGCAATTTCATCTTTCCTTAATTAACCAATATTCTAACTTTGCTTTTCTTATCCAGTTATAGTTTATAACAGCAAAGATGCAATGTAAAATGATTCCTTTAAAAACATATATATCCATTTTTACAAGTAGGCTGCATTCTGTTAAAATTAAACTCTTAATAATAAAGAAACTATATGCTTTGTAATCACATTAATATATTTGAAGGACAGACTAAATTTTCAGCAATTACTTCTGTACTTGTTAAAACAAACAACTAAATTTATTATGTAAATGACCAAACCATGAAATGAAGTTTTTAAATTGAATGTGATTAATTAAATTTAATACTAAATAATTAATGTTGTTAGTCTGAATGAGCTAAAAGCTCTTGGGTTAATTATAATTTCTATTGTATTTGTAATAAATCTATTATAATTAAGGGATAAAATTAATTTAACAAGAATGAATATAAACATTATTTAATCAATAATTAAAATTCTATTGCTTGAATAAATGTACTTTTAATTATTAAATTATTAAAAAAAAATATAACATCCTTCTCTAATCACACTAATCTGCCTTTCAAAATATGTTGTATTTTCAGCAATTACTTTTAATATTTAAAATAACTAAATTTCTTTTATAAATGATCAAAAACCATGAAATGAATATTAGGTGATAAAGCAAGAAGTGTGAGTTGGTACATATATATTATGCTTAATTGTTTTTTAATTTAATCCATTAAATATTGTACTAATATGGTTCCTCAGTGTAGATACTACAGAATTTTCAAAACTTCTCCTAAAGGAATTAGCATTTAAAAGGTTTTATTTACAAAACTTTTGAAAATTTTTTAAAGCAAAATAAATGGATAATTAATTACAGCAATGATGTAATAAAAAGTCAGTAATGATTTACTACTTGTTGACCTTATGTTAAAACTATTAACTTAAATGTTTGTCTAATTGGCACTTTTTTAGGATAAATATGAAAATTATTTTATTTGAAATTAAGCTGAATAACACCAGTTCTCATATTTCTATTTAAATTGCAAATTAAATAAGAAAAATTTTAAAGCTTACCTTCAACTCTGCATTTAACTTCAACAACAGTTAAGTGTAGTTCACAAAACAAACTATTTGCTTTGATCATTTAGTTCTTAATTCTTGCAAATTTTCAATCTTATTTATTGATGAAAATTCTCATAGTTACTACTATCAAAAAGTTGCTAGTTGTGTCATTAAAGATTATTCCTTCCCTAATCGTATTATTCACATATTTTTAGAAACAATGATTAAACAGAAATGGCTGCAAACAAACAAGCTTCTACTTATATGACCTTAGTTAAACACTTAAATATACTTTTAAGACATTAACAATTTTGCAACCAAAACAATTTAAATTCATGTGTTAAAAAAAATACAAAAAATGTGTTCTCTTCCATTTTTTTTCATAATTGATGTTTTAACTACGAATTTTAACATGCATATGTAAGAAACCTTTTTTCACAAGAATACACAGTATGTTCACAGGAACCACGATTAAAGAACATAATTTACAGGATAAGACAGTAATTAAGGCAGATTTTGTAAACAAATTCTTAAAGAACCTTATAAAATATAAGCTACTTAGATCATATCAATGATTCTCTGCTTCCATGCTTAAAGCCAAGGCAGCTTGCAGTTGTGCTGCTTCACTAGCTTGACTAGAGTCCAAACTCATCTGTAATGCTGCTTGCAAAGCGGTATCTTCATCATCATCATATTGATATTCTTGGGAAGAGCTGGAAACACTAGAACGTTGGTCAATTTCCCTACCTGTTGCCTGTTGACTCTTTTTAGATGCTTGTGACAAAAGACAAGGTTTTTGAGTCTGGACAGCAGGCATCACACTTAGCACTTTATCTGCCTCACAAGATGGAAATATCCCAACCACAACAAATATAGAATAACCTTTAAAAATAAAAGCAATAAACTTATAACTAAATAACTTTCAATACCATTGTTTAAGTAAATCTGTAATAAAAAACATTTTCATTGAGCTTATGATTATCATTTTAGTGTGCAGAAGTAGAAAAGGAACAAAAATTTAACTTGAATATTTTAGTACAAACAAAAATATTTTTAATTATTATAGAGTAAATAAGAGACTCTTGCAGAATATTTTAGGTTTGGAAAAACAATTGGTACTTTAACCTTGGTACACTACGTAATCACTGTTGAGACTGAGTTTTAATAACTGATATTTTTATAGGTCACCATTAAAGTTCTACTACACTCACTCTGTTAATTAATATAGAAAACAGACAGAAAATGGTTTCGAAAAAATAAAACAAGTGATTTCTTTCAAGAATTTTGTTTAATTACACTTTCAATACAATTTTATAAACATAACTGGGGGATTGGTTTGGACTAAAGTAATAATAACATTGAGATAATTATGCATAATGATAGCTCCATTTAAAAGCACTTCAAGAACTTTGTAAAGGACACTGAATAAAATATATGTATATAAAGAAAGCACCACATTAATCCTTAATAATTTTAGTCATCATCACCATATTTTTTCTTTGATGTAATGGCAGAATGTTACAACCCACTCAGTTTTTACAAAGCTTTTTTATACACCTATCTACATAATAAGTTGTAAAATTATGATAAATGTTCTTTGTTCAAGTTTTAAAAAAAGAAAAGAGACTAGAGTATGATTTGCAGTTTTTATTTAACCAGCCTCATGTTTTCAGTTAGATATTATATGAACTAGTTCCATGTCTTAGCTATATAAAATGGCATAAAAATATTTTCACCATACTTTGAAACAAAATAAATGCCATGTTGATTGATTAAGTAGAAACATTAACAAACAAAACAACATCAAGCTCACAACACATTCAATCACATTTTGGATAATATGTAAACAAACAGAAAGGTTTTTCATGGAAATTTTAACTGAAAACATATTGAAACTTATTTCAAGCCTAGAGTGAAATACTTTTACAAATTCATTATTTTTTCTCTAAAACAACAAACTAAAATTTATTACAAAATAATGCATTTCCAGGTCGACTTATTAATAAGTAAAACAATGCCACAGTACTTTCTTCTGTAATTAATGTTTCATTCCAGTTCTCTATCCCAAATGTAGCAACAACTCTAATTTTCTTTTGCTACATTAATTAAATTTTCAAGATTAATAGACTGGCAGATCTTCTGAAAAAAAAACATTGTCAAAATTGGTGTCACTTTGGTGCAATGAAAAGCCTTACTAATAGCTACTGTGGTGTGTTTAACAACTCTCTTGAGGTTAGCTACAACACTGGCATCTTAACCTAATGTGTTCAGTAAACCATCATTGAAATTCTACTAAAACATTCAGAGAAAACTGAGAACAGAATAAAGGTGTTCTAATACAAGGTTTCTGTTGACTGGAGCTTATTATAGAAAAAAATGTAAAGGAAAGTTATGTAAAATTATATTATTTGTAGTCTTAATAAAATCATCATTAAACTACTATGTTTTTACCTTCTTGTCTAAGCTGAGCAAGAAACAGTCCTAAATATGTCTCAGAAATCAGTTCAGGGTACGTCATTAATGAGTTGAGGTTGAACCATTGTTGGCCAAACTTTCTTACAGCAAACCAGTGTTCTCGATAGTTACAAATGTATGCCTTTTGCAAGCTATAATAAAAAATTTACCCACAACAAATAAGTGATCCAAAAAAAAAGTTTTTATTTTAAGTCTTTAGTAGGTTCATAACTACAGAGGAACAATTGTACCAATTTACATTAATATTGTTTACAACTCAAAAATTAAATTTTTACATCCACAACTAAAACTTGTTTTAACTGTAAAATCTGGAATTTTATAAAATACGAATACATTCTGCCTTGAATTCTATCTCAACAAAAGATTATAAAAAATATAATATTCAAATAATTATAATCTAGAATTGGAGTTACCATGTAAGAGAAAACAAAACTTAAATATTATACCACTTATTTTTGAACAGTTTAGCCAAAGGTTAACCTAAAAAAAATGTACATATTTGTGTTCCTGGAATATTTAGTACAGTAAACACAATTACGTAAATGATATTCAATATATCTCCATGTAATTTTCCGAGGTTATTATTGCACATTTATATATTTTTACCACTGCTCATACTAGCGAGAGCTGTTTTAATTTAGTGACAAAAACTTTATATTGTCTTTGAACATAGATACAACATTTGCTTTAGTAATGTGACCTTTGGTTTTTGTGTGTGCTTCACAATGTTGTTTCTACATCTGAGAAAAATTTTAAAATCTAACCATTAAATAGGTATATATATAAGTATTATATATGGAGGTGAAGAAATATATGACTCCAAATGTACAGAAGAAACCTAAGAGAAATACAGCAGACCAGTAATCTAACCTGACAGAGTTGGCTCACAAAAAATAAAGATGGTCAAGTACGGAATATTAAAATAATTTTGAAAATGCAAATCAAGTCACATGACAACCACAACCAATATAAAGATTAAGTGGAATAGCATGTACCAAAACTCCATTTTGACATATTTTCATAGGTAGTGTGATGCTGATGCTAACAAAAACTGATCACTTTTGAGAAGGCTGTGTAAAAGCCTTTTCCAACACAAAATATTCACACACTCAGATCACAAAGATGTATTTAAAACAGAGATTTAGAACATTCATTTATACTTAATTGCACTGGTCAATCAGAAATATGGATCAACTTGATCCAGAGAGAGATTCAAAACAAGTCATATTCCAGCTACAGTAATAAAACTGCAGCATCTTGCAGTAGGTGAGGAGCTATACACACAAAATTCAGTGGAATGTCCCAGGAAAAAGAGTACAAAACAAGCTAAGTAAGAATCCCCATCAGGAAAAGTGACATAAATCACACATACACAAGTTTCTTTCACATATCTCAAACAGCTGAAGAATGAAATGGGGATTAATGTTATTTCAAATTAAGGCATACTAGTCAAGTCAGCAGTGCAGCACTTATAGATTTTTGTATGTTTGGACTGTTGAAACGGGTAGTCGCTGATCAACTTGCAAACTAGATGGATAATGGAAACCATGCAGGGAGTTGTGTATCTTAGACATGACAGTTTTATGATGGATTTTTTCTGTAACTGAAACTATGCTGCAGAGCTATTGCCAAGATGCACAATCGACAGACAGAGCATGACCGGACATGGCAACATGGACTGTAATAAGGTAGTCTAAAATTGTTTCAATACAACATACTCAACCCCTGTAAAATCACATTTCTTTTTTGAACATCTTTTGTTTTAAACTATCAATATCATAAAATGTAGATAAATAGTAGAGATACCCATACACTGCATTTGATAATTGAATTATTTATGTTATTAAAAACTTAACAATAACTCATAAAGAACTTTTGATCATCTTTCTATTAAATCATAAAATAAATATCTTGACTTTCTACCACATGTACTACCACACGGTGTGTGGATTAGCATATTGTGACAAAAAAGTAATAAGGATTTCAATGTTAAAAGTATATATTCACATACACACATGTGAGATAACTTATCAATGTCTATTTTGGCATTAAACTGGTGCTTATATTTATTGTTCTATGATGCATTTGGCAGGAAACTGTAGTGTAGGCATATAAAATAGGCAATAAACGTACAAAAGTGATTAACTATTAACTGCAAGTTTTCCTTTTGTTTATACTTGCACATTAAAAACAAATATTAACAAGTGTTTTTATAGTATAAAGGTTATTAAATGCTTTTCTGAAATTATGATTAAATGCAGGCAATTTTAATTGCTGCATATATTGAGAAATAAAATATATTATCTGAGCATGAAAATATTGTAGTATCTGGTTACATGATGCATCTTTAAAATTACTTGTCAGATGATTCGTACTACAAAGAATAGAATGAATATTGCTACTCACTATGGATTTGTTTGAGCTGCTTGAGCCACAGGATTTTGACTGCTGAATGGTATTAACTCCAGATCCCATACTTTCAATGCATTGGCTAGAACTTGCACAGAGAAAAAACCACTATCATCCATATTTCCGGAGGGCTGCTACTATGTTCAGGAAAAAAGAAATATGATTCAGTTTCATCAACTAAGATTTGTGACTGAAAAAAGGAGTATAAAATAATGCTCACTGCTGAAAATATTAGGTCATCAAGAAATTAATATCGTGTTTTGGAACCCTTTTATTAACCACCCCTGAAAAAAACGTACATCACGTATAATAGTGAAACGAACAGCCTAAACGTCACGTTAGTGTAGCCTATATAATGTGTACTCTAATCCCTCATAGTGATGGCACATGACAAGACAAACACATTTGGCATTTAATGCTGTTTTAATACAAGAAGGG